GACTTTCAATTTTGCAGGAGAATGAGAGATGTACAGTCCAAGAAAGCTATTTACATTCGCAGAGAAGCGCCTGCTACTTGTCATATATGGTTTACTTGCAATGGATACCTAATTTGTTCAAGGTTTGGCCAATTTTAAGTCAATCCTTTATCTTGTTTTGTGTTAACTGCAAAATATACATTAGTCACTGTTTAGAGTTAATGGTCTTTTAAGTTTTGCTTGTGATTCACACTACACAAGTGTTTTTTTTTTGTGGGTATGATGTTGATGCAGGGAAGCTAGAAGAAGAGATAATTTGTATCTAGAATGTGCATTGTCAAATTCTTTGAGCCAATCAGAGATAACTAAAGGAACTGAAAGTGGTCCAAGCTCGAGTATAGTTAAAAATGATGATCGTATCACATTAACTGTCGCGGAAACTGAGGATTCCATAAAAGCTGAAAAATCTGCAATTGATGCAATCAAAAGGGTATATAAATAAGTTCATCTAACATGTTCTTTTCGCTTGGATGTAGCAAACTTTTTCTAACTTTATCTCTAACCAAAATGTAGGCAAAACGGTCGGAAAATGATGAGTTGAAGCGTAGGAAAGAAACAGAGAAGGCACTGAGGAAAGCGAAAGAAGAACTTGAACAGATGAGGTCGGAATTCGAGACCCGAATAACAGACTTTAATATGGTGATAAGAAAGCTTCAAGAAAAATATAGCTTATCAATGGGAGCATTGAGAAGACTTAGAGAAGAGCGAGACGAGTTAAAGATAGAGCTCAGAGAAGTATCAAAGCTGAAGAGTAACCGCAAGAACCATGAACCACCTCAGTACTTCATATGTCCCATTACACAGGTAATTTTTTTAAATCAAATTCAATGAAACCTATGTACAAATGATCAAAATAAATATTATAATCATAAGAGAATCAAAACACCATAATTTGTTTGCAGGATGTTATGGAGGATCCACATGTAGCAGCAGATGGTTTTACATATGAAGGAGAAGCCATAAGTGGTTGGTTTGAGAGAGGACATGAGACTTCTCCAATGACAAACAAAATACTTCCTCACACGAGCTTGGTTCCAAATCTTGGTCTTCGATCCGCAATCCAAGAATGGCTTCAAGCTCTTGAGATTGTATGCTTGTAAAATATATTATTAAAAAAGGATTTGAAGTCTAATTAAAGTGCACCGATCAGTAATATATCCTACTTAGTGTATGGACCCATCAAAGAGCTTTTGTCCGACAAAACCCTCCCAAATATAGGGAGGTCACCACCGGTCCACCACCGAGTTCTCAAACATCTTCGGGACTAAAGAACTCACTAAGTCTGCGTTACTCCATTTCAAGATCTAAGACATTGACCAAGAAAAATGACTATGGCTTATTAATAAAATGTGCGTTTGCATTACTCCA